TGATATAATTATGATAATATCATTAAGAGAAAAATATATTCAATATTATATAAGTTGGGCGTTACATTATTGGGTTAAATTTTTCTTACTCAAAATTACATAAATATAGATATATTTACAAACAAGTTCATATTAAGAAAAAAAGAGCAATGAACTTTTTTTCTAATTAAGATTATACCACAAACTAATAAAAGTGGGTGCTAAAATATCTATCTTGTAGCTGATCTATTTTTTGCCACAAATAATTCAAAATAACTAATTTTAGTATTATTTTTTTACTCTAAATAGTAAATATGGATTTATTTTTTTTCTTACTCATTTAATCTTATTATTGTTATTATATTTTTTAATTTTAGTATTAATGTATAATTTTTTTAATATTCATTTTAAAATAAATTTTAAATCGATTAATGATAGATTATTTATATAAATTTGATAAATATAAAATACCAAAATATTTGTAATAATATTTTTTCTTTACAAACAATAATAATTTTACTTGTTGTAAAAAAGTCAATAACAAATTTATATTATATACATAAAAAAAAAAGTTATATTATTAACTAATAAAATAATATATTTCTTAATTTATATAATTTCGTTTTTTATACATACATCACGCAAGTCTATGTCTAGTTATCTAATAAATGCCAAGAGTTAAATAAAATGCATAAGAATATTTTAACCAATGTTAAGTATATATATTAGTTCTTCTTGCTAAATAAAAATTTGAATTATTCTTGTAGTGACTAATCTGGATAAATGAGTTTTATGATAATCTCAAACAACAAAAAGATATTTCACCTTAAGTTCTTTACTCACTTAAATCACCAAGATTAAACCACTAACTACAATTTAATTCAAACTTTCATTTTTCTTATGGTCATAGATTAACATTTATCTTTATAATGAATGATAATATAATAGTAAGATGAACTTAGAAAAATTAACAAAATTAGATTATAGTTAGAATTAATATAAAAATTATTAAGCTAAATAAATTAGTGTGAGATCCCCGTAAACTCTTCCTCTCTTTTCTCTTCCTCACTCACTCAAAAACACTCTCATCCTCACTTCTCATTTTCTCTCATCTTCTTTGTGGTGATCTTGGTGGCAATAGGGGCTGATTGTGGTGTTGGAAGCTAGTGGAAGTCTCCTTCTCCGTTCTAAATTCTCCGCTCGTTCTTCTTCTCCATTTTTCTTCTCCTCCGCTGTTCCGAAGCTCGGATCCTTGCATCGAGGTAAGGGAAGCTAGTTCGTGGCTGTGTCTTGTTGAAAATGAGTTCATAAACTCATTTGTTGGCTGACGAATTGATGATTTCGGGCTGAGATTAATTGAAACTTTCGTTTTCGGGGTTTCGGGGTTTTGCGAGAAAATTTGGGTTTTTCTTGGATTCGAGTTGCATGTTGAAAATGAGGTGTTTTTCTTGATGTTTGATGAAAATTTGGACTTTTGGATGGATTGCATGCTGGTTTTCTGGTTGTTTTGCAGGGTTGGGTGAAAATTTTTGAACTTGGTGAGTTACTGCTGAGCTTCGCGCCGAGCGCGTGACCACCAAGGGACTCCATTTGGGCAAGCCCTCCGGGCGCAATGATGAGTGCGCCGGGGGCGCTTGAGAATGTGGGTCTCTGGCTGGCCCACGCTGGGTGTGACTTGGACCGCACTGGGCGCGATACCAGTTGTGACATGTTTTGGGGTTTTGGTTCTGCGCTAAGCGTGACCCTTGTTGCGTTGGGCGTGGAGACTCCTTGGGAGTCTTTGCCATGGGGGCGCCGGGCACAAATTTGAATTGTGCTGGGTGCGAGACCTTGGGAGGTCTCTGCCTTCCCCGCGCTGGGCGAGAGTTTGGGCACACCGGGCGCGTGAGACTCCTTGGAGTCTCTGCCTGGGCATGCGCTGGGCGCAATTTGCATTGCGTCAGGCGCGTGAGAGCCTTGAGCTCTCTGGCTGGGTCACGCCGGGCGCGAGCACTCTTGCACCGGGCGCGCTGGTGCTCTCTGGTTGTGTCGTGCCGGGCACGACCAGGAGTGCGCCGGGCGCGGATGTGATGCTTGACCAAATGCTGATAAATGTTGTTTTAAGCTAAATTGAGCTTAAATTTATGAATATGCCGTGTTGTTAGATGTTATTGCTGAATAGGGATGTTTAAGCTATGCTGTGAGCTGTGTTTAGATGTTAAGCAGAGCCATGCTGTATGTTGATTTAAGCTGTATTTGATGATATTGTTGTGTTGTGCTGAACTATATGCTATTATAGCCGCTATGTCAGTGCTGTTATATAGCCACTATTGTGGTGTTGTTATAGCTGCTATGTCGGTGCTGTTATAGCCACTATTGTGGTGCTGTTATAGCCGCTATATCGGTGCTGGTTTTGCCCCTTTTTTTGGG